CTGGGACCCAGACCAGCTGGAGCGCCTTGTCCGGCTCCTGCTCCTTACCCTTACCCCGTCAGGCACCCTGCAGCTGCCAGGATACTGATCGCGGCAGATGCTGTCTTTCCTTAATCCTGCCCTCCCTCTGAATAACTTCAGGCCTTCTAGCTCAGCACAGCACAGCAACTGTCCGGTACTGGTATTCTGTCAGTTCCTGATTACCGACTTTGGCTGGGGGATATTTCCAGTGTGTCAAGGTTCACCACAACTGGCACATGCCGGAGCCAGAGAGGAGAGCAGCTGCTAGGAGGAAATCCAGCCTGTGTGAGTCGGGCTGCAGGCCTAGCTCAGCCCCTGAGGAAGCTGGGGAGCTCAGCACCCCCCACAGCACCTCCTCTGCGCCAGCTGGAGACTGCCCAGAGGGGTTTTCCCCTAAGATCTGAACCCGCCAGGGGGACTAAAACGCAGGAATTATTTTTCGTTTCAGGGTCTCCACAGTCTCTTCACACACACACCCCACGCACCAGCACAGGGCCTTCTAGCAGGTTCGCTCTGAAGCCATACAGTACGCACGGAGGTTTGCTGCAAAACTACGACTCCAAGAATACCCTCCGTCCAAAAGGAAAGGAAAGGGGCAAAACAAAGCCTCTGCAATCAACGGGCTCAAAACTGCAGCAACCAACCCTGCGCCCGTGGGTGCCCAGCTCCAACTGTCTGCTGACGTGCACACACGTGAGCACCACACCCCCTTCACACCCACTGTAACACAAACCCCCCGGTCTCCAGAGCACACAGAAACGGGACAGTGAGGCCCTCCTGAGGGAGTCGGCGGCCTTTGCTCCATGTGAGGGCACACGACAACTCAAGGGCCACACGGTCCCTGCCCCCACAAGGCTTCTGCAGGCCCTCACAGCTGCGTGGAGGATGTCGGGCGCCTATGCTGGGGACATCACTAGGGACGCAGGACTGGCGTCCTGACTTCCAAAGCGGCCCCCTCCAGTACGCATCAGTGTTCCCTCCTGTGGTGTCACCAAAGGAGCAGGGACTGCGCCCCCCCCCCCCGCCACAGCAGGCAGGCAAAGTCCACCCAAGGGATGCTGGGTCAGGTGGCTGTCAGCTGGCATGGGTGGGGTTCAAGGAGAAACCACAGCCAGTTGGTACTTGCCTCACGTGATAGCCACAGGGCAGCCTGAGCTTCACCTCTGAACAGCAGCACTGCGGCCAGCAGGTGTGTGTGTGTTCGTTCGTGTGCACACAGATGCCGGAGGCACTGACCGAGCGGCTCCCTCTTGGCACCTGTGCGAGGCAGCGGCTATCCGCTCACCCAGGCACACGCTGGAGGCCACAGGGACAGGGCCAGGACTGTGCCACAAGGACTCATGCTCCGAGCAAACCCCCACCACCACACTCCCGCAGCAGCACTTCGGGAACCCCAGGTCAGTACCCTTGAGAAACGCTCAGCCCGGACGTGCAGGAACACGCCTGCATCCAGCTGCTCAGGGTGCCAGGGCAGGAGGAGCGTAGGATCGGGGCCAGGCTGGGCAACTTAGGGAGGCCCTGGCCCAAAACACAAAGGACTGTGGCTGTAGCTCAGTGGTTAGCACTTGCTGAGTAGGCACAGGGCCCTGGTTCAAGCCCTGGGACCTCAGAAAATAAAAATAGAATCAAGCCCCTGTAGAAGCTCCACTGTTCCCCACATCAGGCTGCTCACACACCTGCTGAGGCCTGCGTCTGCCTGGGGCAGGCCAGAAGGATGCTCCCTCAGGACAGCCGTGAGGCTGGTCAGTGGACTATTGGGGGTAAGGGAGTGAACCACAAGGAACACCTAGAGTCAGCACTCGAAACCACCCAAATGCCCTCTGGGACGGCATGCAGGGGGTCCAGCCACTCAGTCACAGCAGGGAAGGCGCCCAGACACACGGCAACCCACAGGAGCCTCTGGACAGAGCAGGGCAGGAGCTGCGTGGGTCCACTTCTGTGAGAGCACCAGCAGAGAATCGAGACAGAAAGCAGGGCTGGGGGGCCGAGGGCCAGGGCGAGGAGAGTGGGCAGCACCTGCTCAGGGGTCGCAGGCGTTTGGGGTGAACCAAGTGATGTAGAAATAAACAGAGGTAATGGTGCTGGGCTCTGGCGCCACTGAAACCTCTGTGCAGCGCACTTAAAATGCTGCGCGGTGCCTGTTTTCTACCTGAGACCACAGCACAGGGCCGCGGGCACAGGTCTTACTCTAGGGTTCCCGAGACCACAGCTTTCTACTTCATGGGCAGCGGCTTCCAGGAGCTGAGCGTCTCAGGACTGCTCCATCTGACATCAGCTGTGCGATCGAGTATTTTCCTTCTGAAAGAGAATGGCTACAGGACACTGCTATAGGACACTGCCCTGCCCACGTTTTTACACTTCCGGAGGTCTGCGGAACAATACAGATGCTTAAAAACGGTCTGGAAGAATGATCGCAAATAAGCAGTCTCAGAAAACAATTAAGTTTAAATAGGGTAAAGAATCTAAAAAGCAACTCACATCTTTATCTCTAAAATAAACAGTCTGTAAGGGCAGAGAGCTCAAGACAAAACAGCCACATGCTGTCCGAGGGACAGGCTTTCAGGGTTACGCTGACAGCGGGCTGTAAAGCTGAGGTGCCAGATGCTACAGAGCGAGGTCCCCGAGCCGCCTGCTCCCGGCACCCAGCGTTATCAGCGGCAGGCAGCGCTGTGGCTGTGACTGACATGCATGCAGCGGTGACAGAGGATGAAGCCCTGCCTGAGGGAAGCCAGCGACATGGCCCTGGGTACTCAGCACCACAGCCCTCCTCACGAAGGGTCAGGGAGCATCTCCAACACCCCAAAGACCCTGAACTCCGCCAGGCCCAGTAACTGCTCAAAAACCAGCACAGGAAGCCAGAATCCCCTCTGCCACACACAACAGTCCACAAGTCCAAAACGCACCACTGTAAGAATGAACCGAAAGGGCCAGAGCAGCCGGGAGGAGGAAGGCGTGCTCAAGGAGCACCAACCTGCTCTTCGCCTTGGGAAAAAGCGTCCTCCCACTGCAGCAGGGAGATACCAGGCAGCAGGAGCGCAGCAGGAGCACCTGGCCAGGGTTATATGCCAGTGAGTTCAGTGCGGGGCACCGAGGTGGAGAGGAGGCACAGATTAGCACCTTCACCTTATCAAGGGATTTCTGTTGGACAGAAAGCCTCTCTTGTAAAAAACACTTGTTCTACATTTCCTTCACTCCCTACCAAAACAACAATCACCACCTCCTGCATAAGGTGAGGCATCTGCACGCCCCATGGGCATCCCCTTAGGGTAACACAGTGCACAGCCAGGGCGTGACTGGGGTGCAGCTCCGAGGCAGAGCTGGCCACCAGATGGACATCCCAGACAGGCGACAGTGCCCTGGCACGGGGGCCAACACCGCGTACTGCCAACAGGGGCCTGTTCTGGGCCGTTTCTTCGGCTTACAGCAGGAGCAACACACAACAGGGACTCCCGGATGGGAACTGAACTTACAGAGAAAGCTACAGCCACGGGGGAAAACGCCACCAAAGAGATAAGGCATCACTCAAACCCGACCTATACACCGCAACCACTTCTTAGAGGAAAGTGTTCTGAAGGGAAAAGCCACAGCCTGGGGTTCAAAGAGAGCCGGAAAAATTTTTTTAAAAAGAAAGTCAACTCAACCACCAGCTAAGCAGTTTCCTCAGCCACTCCACAAAGGTGAGGCGGGGTCAGAGTTTCAACTCCAAAGAGCTCAAAGGCAGGGCAGAGAGGTGCTTGCCAGACCGACCACCACCACCCCCGCCCCACTTTCCAAAGAACTCCCGAGTGTGATCTAAGCGCGCACCACCCGGTCAAAGAAACCCTTTCTCTTGCAGAATTTTGCGAACCGGCTCCGGGCAGCGGTTACACGCTGTGAGCCGTGGTCACTCTGAGTGACACAGCTCTCAGCCACTCCGCACAAAGCCCGCATCTGGAGGGTCTAAGGCGTCGCCCCTGCCGCTCACGTGTGCAGCTGGGGATGCGAGAGTTAACCGCCGTCCCCACGCCCGCTGCCCGCTCGCCGCTCCCGCGCCGCCAGCCGGTGGTCAGCAAAACCTTGCGCGGCCCTGAGCGGAGGCGAGAGCGTTTCCTAAGACAATCAGACACACGTTCACAGCGTGCACACAGTGCTCTCGTATACACATGTACGCACACACGCACACGCGTCCGCGCGCACATCGTACTCCGGGCACGCACGCGCGCTCGCGGCCCGCCGGCGACACCTGCGCGGGCAGCGGCGGCCACTAAGGCCGAGGCTCCGGCGCCTGCCCGGTTCCACCTCACCGGCTCCGGGCTCGCCCCAACTCCCTCTCCCGGTAATAAACACCAGATTTGCGGAAACCGAGGCGGCTCAGTGTTTACCTGTTATCTGTCACCCAAGAGCCCGATTATGGGGACAAAGGCTTTATCGTCTCTCCAGCGAGACAAGGGACACAAAGGGGCCCCAACCTCTGACCGCAGACGCGCCACCCCGCCCGGCTCAGCGAGGGGCAGGGGCCGGTGTGCAGTCTTGAAGCGTGGGAAACCGAGGGAAATTGGAGGTAGGGGTTTGGGGGGTCAGACCTGGGCCCAGTTCCTGGTGCGGGCCGGGGGCGGAGGCTTTGGGGTGGGGTCTTGGGATCTGGGTTTAGGGTGGTGGCCTGGAGCTGGGATGCAGACTTGAGGTCCTGAGTGCGGATCTAGTTTACAGACATGGGGTGCAGGGCGGCTTGGAGCACAGACTGGGGTGTTACAGGTGAGTCGGGTGCGGTGGAGACTAGGGGTGCACACATGGCTGAGGGTGAGGACTCGGTTCCGGGTGCGGGCCAGGGAGCAGACAAGGGGTGCCGCGCCGGCCTGGTGAGCAGACCCGTGGGTCCCAGGCACGGGCTTGGGGTGACAGCTTGGGGTACAGACATGGGACGGAGGTTGGCGCGAGGGGTGCAGCCCCGGGCGCCCTCCCCCACCCTCCGCGCAGCCGGCACGCGCACGCGCACCCACCTTGTGGCAGGCCGGGCAGGTGGGTCCCGGCGCGCCTTTGCCCCCGGGGCCTCCGCCGCCACCGCTCAGGCTGCTCTGGATCTGCGTGAGCTCCTGGCGCAGCACCTGCTTCTGGTGAAAGCTGAAGGCCGGGTGGTTGGAGGCCATGGTAAAGAGCAGCAGGAACTCATCGCCCGTGCGGCCCTCGTTGAGCTGCAGCCCGTAGTTGTGGATGATGGAGTCGATGTGCGTGAGCGTGCGGTAGAGCACGCCCGCAGCCTCGCGTTGTTCCGAGCCCAGCAGCGCCAGCGACACCAGCAGCTTGCTGCGCACCACCTCGTCCGTCAGGTTGGTGAGGCTGCCCAGGTCGGCAGGGTTGTTGGCCTTGATCTCCGAGTCGCGCAGCGAGTGGTAGTCCTTGCGCGCCAGGTCTTCGAGGCACGAGCCGAGGAAGCGCAGCTCCAGCGGGATGCACAGGTCCAGCAGGCCGCACAGGAACTCCACGCGCTGCGGCGACGGCAGCTCTGAAAACCAGCGGTACACGCCGTCCCTCTGCAGCGGGCAGCGCTTCTCCACCATGCTGCCGCCCGCGCCGCGCCGCGACCCG